GGGGCGGTAGGCAAACTAGAGGGGGTCTACAGTGTCCGGGACCATGTGGTTAATGTGTGTGAGGACCAGTTTCTCTAAGCACTTCATGTCGACTGATAGCTCATGATGGCATAACTTTTTGTTCTGTGCCGACAAGCAGAAATGTTTAAGCAGTCCTGTCAGGCTATTCTTGTAAAATCAAGCATGACTCTGCTTGTTTCATGTATAATTGATCATTACATTAAGAGTTAGATGACATGCACAAGACTGCCATGTACTAAGTCAGAGAGATTCACCTTGTGACTTGCTGGAAGCTGTTTCTCTCCAGAGATAAGCTTAATGGCTGCGATCGATTTTGTTTTCAGAGTGATTTCACTTGGAGTCAGTGTACAGCAGACCTAAAGCCAATTCTGGTTCCAAGATGATGAAAATATCAACTCTTAATGATATCATCCTAGATTTCTTTTAATTTTCAGAATAATGTGCTGTGACCAACTTTATTACTGTGCTCCTTTGATATAAGATTGTGGATTTGACAAGGCTGTTTGTGAAATTCGCATATGATGTTTAAATAGGATTAGGGATGGGCATTTTTGAGCTACACTAATGAAACCAATTTAAGTTGATTATTTGATTAGTTGTGATGTCGCCAATGTTCTTTTTTCCGGTCTTTTGCTGTCACGACTGTTTAGGTACTGTAGGTCCAGTCATTGTTCATCTTTTCACTTTGCTGCTGAAGGTCAACATTTTTTGTGGTGATGTTGTGAATGACCCCTCATCATACTGACAAAACTGTGGGCAAAACCATAGCTAACCACAAAGTGAGCAATCGACTTTATCATCCAGTTGAGTAAAATAATGCCACATTTCACGCTGAAGTTTGTTTTTCTAAATCTGCTGTCATAGTTCCTGTCTGTTCTCCACATAAATGTGAGCAGCACACAGGCAGAAACAGTGTCATAAACTTTAGTTCCACCTCTATATGATGCAAAAAAAATAAATGTTGCCAAAAAATTATCCAAAATTTCAACAAAAAAAAAAAAAAAAAAAAACTGAAATCAGCCAAAAGATACATTTATCTTTGCATTGTCAGCAAGGATGATTTACAAAATCATCACTGTGTTAAATCAGAATCTTTTTTGTTTGGAACATTGTTTTTTGTTTGCAATTCTTCTTTAGAGTCATCACTGATTTTATGCACATTTATTGTTCTGTACTTTGAATCTCGTATGTTACGTTGTCATAAATATATCTTTTTTTTTTTTTTTTATAAGGCAACCTGGTATTGTAATTCTTTCTGTGGTACTTCACAGTATTTTTAAGAAACTGTATATTTACTGTAAATGATTTACTTACAGTACATCTGGGCTGCCAGTTTTTGTTCAAAATTTGAACAACCAAAAACTCTACTGATCTCTATTGGTCTGTGTCTTAGCTAACACAAAATGGAGGAAACTAGTGAGTCGTGTTGATAATCATGACACCAAACCATCTGAGAAGCAGTGCATGGAAACAGTTTAGGTTTGACACCTAAGATGGAAAAATATGAGTAAAGGTGAAGCTGCTTGCTGCCTTACAGTATTGGTCATTTATCAGTCTGTCTAAAATTAAGAATCGCAAATAAATGGAAAGTCAATTCTACAAAGCTTTTTAAGATTAAACAACATAGTTTATTTTAGAATTAGTTCCCACCAATTCCAAGTAAATTAAACTTTGTTTAAACTTGATTTTTGAAACCCTGACAGTTGGCAGCCTTTCTATTAATTACATTCTTATTGACAAAGAAGCCTGATGTTGAACTGGTGAAATGAGCTACTCGATCTTTCACTTGTTAGGTATTTTTAGTCAGATAGATATTGGATAGATACTTTATGTATTAGAAATGTTTAGTGGAGATAGGATGTCTAGTTAGACTGTTAAATGCTTAG